AGAAATTAGCCAAGTTGACCGGAAGGGGACAAGTGTGAGAGGCGTTGGACAGCGTGTGTGCAAAGGCACCTCAGGAGAGCTCTGTATGGCACAGAACGTCAAGCGACCAAGTTTGGATTCCAGCAGAGTAAGTCATAAAGAGCTGTGGATGTCAACCAAAGGGATTTAGATTTTATTCCAAGACAGACGCCATTTGGCAATATAGAAAAATTATTCTAAAATCCATAAGGAAAAATGATGGGAGAACTATTAGGAGGAAATGATAGAGTTCATGAACCAAGGAAGAAACAATAGCCACAAAGACAAGGGAGAAAGAGAACACAAGCTTGCTGTTTATTAGGAAATTGAATCAGAAGTCCGTTTAAATCACTCATCAATATTTGCGGGTTATTGTGCCTTCTCTAATACCCCATATAATTTTGTAGACTTTTTGTAAAAAAGATTCCCGAATTTCACCTTTCTGTTTGTTTTTATTTTTTTTGGTACCAAGGATCGAACTTGGGTCCTTGTGCTTGCGAGGCAGGGAGAAAAAGATACTTGAAAAAGGAATGAAGCTGGGCCGGAGATGTAGCTCACCGGTGCTGCCGCCTGCCTTGCAAAAGCAAGGTCCCGTTTGATACCCAGGACCAAAAAAAAAAGTAATGAAGTTGACATTATATAATCTTTTAAGGTGTATGCAAAAATTATGACACACTTTTGCATTCTTTTTTCTAAAAAGCACTCAATAAACCACCTGCGGTCTGGAATACTTTTTCTTTTTTTGGTACCAGGGATTTGGTACTTAAAAAGCACTCAATAAACCACCTGCGGTCTGGAATACTTTTTCTTTTTTTGGTACCAGGGATTGAACTCGGGTCCTTATACTTACAAGGCAGGCAGCGGAACCACTGAGCTAAATCCCCAGACCCTGGAATACTTTTTCAGAGCTACGTTACTTATGCTAACAGCAAAATTTAAATCTAAGTCATGATGGAAATGTGATTTTAATATGAATGTGTAACAGAATAAAAACAAAATATAGGCATTACAAAACCAAGTGACTTGTCCTTATTACCTTACCATATGACACTCAATTTATCTTTTTTTTTTTCTGGTACCAGGAATCGAATTCAGGACCCTGTGCTTGCAAGATAGGCGTGGGCTCCACTGATCCAAATCCCCAACCATGACACTCAATTAATCTTTAATAAGGCAGATAACATTTCTTCAAATTGAATCGTTTGGTCTATGTTTGCTGCTTTCTGTATTGAAAAAATTCTCCACATGTGTTACAAACACATCCAACCAATGCTTGTCACAGATATGCACTGTTGTTTGCCCACCACTCTCTACCCATTCTTGGAAACTTAGCCTCTCTCACTCACCACCCACCCTTAACCTATCTCATCTATTTGATTACTATGCACACCACCGTGGTTGTTCAATACTTGATGCATGAGCCAGCTGCTGCAACATCATGTGAGGCTGTGTGTGTGAAGCTGAAGATGCAGAGGAGACCCCAGGAGTTTGGAGATGCCAGGAATCATCAGAGGACAAACCGCAAGGAGGGAGCACAGCCAGCCCAACAGAGAAGCCATGGGAGCTACCACCAGCAGAAGTGCAGTAGGGGCAGAGCCACTCAAGCCCTTTGGAATGCATAACTTATCACAGATCCCCTCAGATGCTGCACATGGAACTACAAGACTTAACGTTTGCCCTGCTGGATTTTGGATGTGGTTACCATTCCTTTATATCCCCTTATTTGTACCTTTTGGAATGGGAACGTCCATCTTGTGCCAATGAATGTTGGAAGTGTTTAACTTCCTTTCCATGTGTACAGGGGCTCAGAGTTAAGAGTGACTTAAATCTCAGAGGAGACTTTGGACTTGGACTTTTCAGCAATGCTGGAAACTATTAGGACTTTGGCAATTCTTGGACATGGACTAGAGGCCTTTTGCATACAGGGATGTACATGAGTCTTTGGAGGGCCATGGCGGAAATGTTATGGTTTGTGTCTAGATGACCCCTCAAAGCCTCGTAGGTGGGGCTTTCTCACAAGTGGCTAAATTTAGAGTATGTGACTGGTTCATGGTACAATGCTAGGATTAAGGGTACAGGATTGAAGGGTAGGTGATTACTAAATCTGTCCACTGATTGGTTTGGCAGCTGCCCTCATCTTAGTAGCCTAGATGCAATATAACGGGCAGAAAGAGGCTTGTCTTGCCCCCTTGCTTGCTTTGCTACCTTCTGCATACCCTGAACTATTTCTCCACTGTCATGCCACCCGCCTTGGAGCATGGACTGAAACCTCTACAAACTGTGAGCCTGGGGTCGAGTATTTTGTCTCAGCAGTAAGAGAAAAGTGACTAAGACACCTACGTATCCTCTGTGTCAGTGACCTGTCTCGCCATCCACTTTGGCATGCACACTCCAAAGACTACACCCTGGCTGGGAATTACCACTAAAGAATGAGTGTACTTTTGTTGCAACAGATCACTCAACCACACCCACCAATCCTTTCCCTTTTCCTATTTCCATTTCACCTTTCAGTTTCATCCAGATCTTTGATCTCTTGCCTATGCCTTCCAGATCTACTGTCTCCCTTTACCTCCTTTCCACGTCCAACCAGAACAACCTATTAATTAAATCAATGACTGTTTTTCCAGAACTTTGTGTTTATTTTCCATCTTTTATTTCCAGTATAGCAAGCCTAAGCAGTCCCCACCCAGGTGAATCACTCTCAAATTCTGTTCCAGGTACTGAGCTCTTGAAAAGAAAATTGCTTAATAATTAAAATTGGGTCACTTGAATTTATAACAGCTAACTCTGACGGGCTTTAGCAATAATTAATTAGCGACACTTTCATTTTTCCCTAGTCAGTTCTTCTCCACACTCCCTGCGGTCATTATTTGAACTCTAGGCCACTTTCTTTAACTCCAGTATCATCAAACCCTTCCACCCTTAGTTTCACTGCTTCTTCACAGAAAAATGGAGGTTACCGTATGGGAAGATACTCTCTGCTCCTCTACTCAAACATATATTTCAAAGCACCGCCCTTTATCTCACTCGTGCCTCTATCTAAGGAACTGGGGCCTCTCCTCTTGTCCTTTCAAGACCACAATTTCTACCTGTGTCCTAAGTGTCAGACTAAAAAGACCTTCAGAGATGTTATCTTTCTTTGATACCTTTAATTTAACTTCACTTCAATCTAGTTCCTACCCCTGTCACTATAGGTAGGTCAATTAACATCATCACTCAAATATAACCACCTCCAGCGAGGGATTTAGCTCAGTGGTGCTGCCGCCCGCCTCACAAGCACAAGGTCCTAAGTTGGATCCCTAATACTATGTATGTGTGTGTGTGTGTGTGTGTGTGTGTGTGTGTATGACCACCAACAACCAACATATTTTATTTTATATAATAAAAACAGGTGGTAATCGTTTGAGATGTAGAGATTTAGAGTATATAGTATATAGACTATTATGTGTGTATACATATATATGAATATTTACTTTTCTATTCCTTAAAACATTGTCATTTATATGTAATAAATCTCCAGACTGAAAATACCCTTATTCGTCTACGATCTTGTAATTGCTAAGTCCAAAGCTCCACTATTAAATTATATTTCTAACTGATCCAACTGCAGCATTAAAAACTAGTTTCTTTTTCCCTCCAGCATTTATCACTTAATGTCACATATATTCATTTGTTTAATCTCCCACCTGTAGGAGTTGTTATGAGAGCAGAGAATCTGTTCAATGCACTGTCTAGAATACTGTCAATACTGTCTGGCACGTAATAAGTGACTGCTGAATATCTGTTGAATAAACATCCACCATTTGGCCACTTCAGTCCCTTCCCAGAAAATTTAAATTGGGGAACAGGAAAGTCAAGCCATTCTGCCTGGGAGAATACAAGCAAATTTTCAGGATGAAAGGAGATGAATCAGGAATGATAGAGAAGTAGAGACAAACAGCATCCTGACAGAATTAAAAGCCCGCTTCCATTTATCCCAATGTCCAAAATGAATTCTACCCTAGGTCTCTATGAAATATCTCAGTATCTTTATAGTAAATTGCCTTTTAACTTAATCTAATTTAGTCTTTCTTTCTGTTGTGGGGCATCACGAAGTTTCTTACTACAATAATGTGCTGTTCTATGAATAATAGGTTCAAAATAAAGCCAATTTTCTAAGAAAATGAAAGTAAGAAGTTAGTGTTCTAGTTCTAATTCCCTGGATGGACAATATATGTAAATACACAGGCAATGGTTAACTTAAGTTAATGAAAACGCAGGGTGATAAAAAGCATTCTCTTTACAATTCACAAACTCTTTACTATATCGTATTCAGGGTGTTTTGGTTTTTTTGGTTTTTTTTTTTTTTTTTGAGACAAGATCTCTTTATGTAGTTCAAGCTGCCTTGAACTTACTATGTAGCCCATGCTGGCCTCGAACTCACAGCTATCATCCTGCCTCAGTTTCCAGAGTGCTGGGATTACAGGCATGTGTCACCATGCCCAGCTTCAGGTTCTATTTATGAAATAAGACCTATTTCATGTCTTTTCTTTTGGGGGAGGGTTGTTTTGTTTTGTTTTTTTTGAGACAGGGTCTCACTATGTAGTTGAGACTGATCTGAAACTCACTATGTAGCTCAGGCTGGTCTTGAACTCACGGTGATCCTCCTGCCTCAGCCTCCCATGTGCTGGGATTACAGGAGTGAGCCACCATGCCCGGCTTATGTCTTTTCTAATTACAATCACATACATATTCATCTATCTCTAAAGTCATATTTCAAATGAAGTTTGCTACTAATTTTACTCATGCTAATTTTCCTTAGGCAATAGAAAAAGTACACAGAATAATTAAAGGACCCAGTTACAACAATGCATAGCAAAGTAAGGCGAGGGAACAAACTGAAATGCATCCTAAATTGGCACTTAGATATCAGGAAGTCCTCTCTCAGAGAAAGGAAATTAAATCATTAAAAAAAATTACATTTCCTGGGTTATGGTACTTACCAAACAAACGCTGATGGAACAGAAATTTCCCAGCTATGAGTCCTATGAGAATGGCAAGTAGCCATAGAAGCACCTTCAGAATCCTCCAGCCAACTCCTCTAGGGTATTTATTTGTTACAAACGAAAAACAGTTTCCAACAACGATAACATTGGCTTCAGTTTGGCTGTGAGAAACTGGGTCCTCGGCAAATATTAGGAAGTTAAAGAAGATCACCAAGTAAGCCACAATCATGCGAGACCAGGGATGCTGGAAATAATACCGAAAGTCTTTACCCATCCTTCACAGCGTCAATGCCGTAGTTGACCTGTGTAAGAAAAGATACATGCAGTTAGAGTGGGGAAAAAAGCAGTTGAAAAAAAAAGAAAACAGCTCTTCCTGCTATCTGTTCAGAAAAGCTCAATAGGGAGGCATCTAAAAGAGATGACACTGGTCCTCCTTGGGGCAACACAACACTTGTGAGATTAAAGAAGGTTAGTGGGTCCCTTTCTTATCATCCAGTCATTCCTCGGATGAATTGGGGATTTAGGAAAGGAGAATAAAAGAGTAGAGGAAAAGAGGGGCTGTCACAGGGCAGAACATTGTCCAAAATTGGAACAGTGACTAAAATGATGAGTAGAGACGAAAATACAACGTAAGATCAATGCAACACTTTTCCTGTTTTAGATTATTTTACCTCATAATCGGAAAACAGTCATTTAAAAGTTAAAACATTACAAAAGTAAACATATATTAACATATATTAACATATATTAACAAAAGTAAACATATATTATTTTACCTCATAATCGGAAAACAGTCATTTAAAAGTTAAAACATTACAAAAGTAAACATATATTAACAAAAAACTGACAATGAACACACCCAGCCCCTCTCCTCAAACTTGTCATCACTTAGCAGTTTGGTGGGTAGACTTGCAGATCTTTTTCTACATATTGACAAGTATGTACAGGTGTATGAGCTTCTTTCCCTTCTTTTTTAGTACATATTGACTGTACAGAGAAATGGCTTTCATTTTGGTAGATTTGTACATGCACATAACACGCTTTGATCATTTTCACCCCGTGCTTCTTTTTTTTTTTTCAGCTTTAATTGAGTTCATTGGTACATTTTAGGGATACAGTACAGTTACATTCATTGTTGGGATCTTGTACCTCTACATGACAGGTCTTGGTTCTCATTTTTTCCCCTTGTCCGTGCCCTCCCTTCACCCCCTCGTCCCCTCCCCATCTACAAACACTTTATTTCCATCTTTTCATTATCTCACATTTTTTTCTTTTCCCTTTTTACCCTTCCGCTACCCATCCCACCTTCCCTACACCTTTGGCTCCTTTCTTACCATTTCTAAATGTCAGTAATCTTATTAGGATCTTGTGTATTATTGAAGATTATTCACACCAGGGAAACTATTCGGTATTTACACATGTGTGACTTATGCCCCCGTGCTTCTTTACCCCACATTTCCCCCTAGTTTTATATTTTGAATGGTTTCAGTGCATGCAATATATTTTGATCATATCCACTCCCCGTGCGACCCACTTTTGCACCCCCTCCCCCTTATTCCCTTACTCTTGCTTAATAATAACATCCCTTCTGTTTTGTTATCCCTTTTGATTCTACATATTAGGGTCAACATGTGTCGTTTGTCTTTCTGAGTCTGGCTCATTTCTTTCAGTGTGATAATCTCCAGATCCATCCATTTTCTCGCAAATAATAAAATTGTGTTCTTTATGACAGAATAATACTCAATTATGTACATATTTTGTATATGATATTTTATAAAAATGTTCATATTCTATTTATCAAATGATTTCAACACATACATTTTATGAAATAGCTAAGTCTGTGATAGAGTAGTTGCCCCCAAGCAGGAATCGAATAGCTTTGGTTTGGAGTAGTGGGGAGAAAGGGAGATTTCACAAAGGAAAACCTGCCCAGATTTGAGGCTGACTACTAGGGCTTTTCCCCAGGGGCAAGCAGGGATTGTCCATCAAGACAATGGTAAAGTCATCTGGAAAAGCACAGAGGAATTGAAAATTAGATGGCACGCCCACAGCAATGAGCTGCTAGCCTGGACGTGCGTTGGAATCCAACTTAAACATAAATGCTTAAGTCAGAAGACCTGCTCTACTCCGTTCCTCTTTTGGAGCCAACCTGCCCGTAAACCACACCAAGCTGTAACTTCCTCCCTGGGCCCAGCAATGCCGGTGAATGGGTAATTAAGTCCAATTCTAGGGTTCATTTTGATGAATCCATTTGGCTCTCAGGTTAAGCTACGTCTATTTTTTTCTGCCATAAAACTGCTGAAAAAGTAACCAAAATAATGAAGGCAATAATTCGACTGCCATTTGCCAATTCATTTTTCTTCTTTCTCCATTTATTTATGACTTAGAGAGAGAAAAAGAGGGAAGAGGGATCCTTCCAAAGTCTACAGTGCTGAATACATCGGGCTCCTTACTGGATGTATGTAAGCATCATTATGTCATGTTTCTCAGAGTTGTTATTATCATTCCCATCTCTTCACTTTGAGGGTGTGAGCTGAGCTCAGAGGGTTTTTTTAAAATCCTCCAAAGTCAGTCAGTGGGAGGAGAGCTCTCATTTGAGCCTCTGACCCTAGGGCATGAAAGCCACTCCCTTCAGGGAGCCAGGTCTGCTTCAGGTACTTTCCTTCCTGGAGGAAAAACCCAGGGTCTACTCCGCAAGTATACCATTGCTCAGGTGCCTTGGGAGGTACATTTTTCTCTACAGGCAATTATATTAATTTGTAATATATACTTTGATAGCCCAAGAAAACATTTGTGAGTAAAAAAAAATCCTTCATAAATCCTGAATGTTAAAAAAAATTCACTGACAAACATTTTCACTCTATACACAGCTGAAAGTACAAAGATTACACCTCAAGCCCAAAGTGCTTCTAAGTCAATGGGAAGATCTGTGGACAGATTCCAAGACTCCCAAATCCCAACCTGATACTCTAGGCTGATGAATGTCAATTAAACTCATAATCTACATTAATGAAAGTGTGTTGTAACTAATTTAGGAAAGCAACATAAATAAGCCAAAGGATTCCTAATATAATTTAGCAAACTAATAATGACTGTGCTTTGCATTCCTGAGGCTTATAAGCAATTTTATATCCCTTATAATCTCATGAATACTTTGAAATATCTTTTCCCAGGAGCTACAGCTCAGGTTATTTAGAAATGGTGACTTCCATAAGATGCCCGCTTTATTTTGTTGTTTAAACATGAGGTTCATCACTCACTACAGAGATCTATATGCGCTGTTCTCACGCCAGAAAGCAGAGCAAGCAGGAAAGAACACTTACAGGTTTTCATGGCATTCAATGTGTAAAAATGCAAGAATGGGTCAGCTGTCGACTCAATTTCATGCAACACCTCTGGAAGTATCCAAAAACCACTACCACAGAATCCAGATCTGCAGCTAGCCTTTACTCTTTCTGAGATACCACAGAGGTGAAAGCACTTTCATTAAGGTATTTCCCATCGTATTTACAGTTCATTCTTTAATTTCACCAACAATTTCAGTTACTTAGCTACTAGCAGATTGAAACAGGGCCCTAATGTTTATCACTTGATCTTTTTTATTTTATGATAAACCCAGATAGTATTTATGCTTTCCCCATAATCCAAATTTGAAGTAGTGTCTTCTGGAGAGGGTCCCCAAATTTCAAATACATAATAACTTGAACAAGATATCTGCTTCTCTCAGACATAAGGTTGTCAACACTCTGCCCAGCCATCTTGGTCCCATTTTCCAGTTCCATAGGTACCTTCATTATCATCCAGAGCACCAACTCTATTTTCATTTTTGTCACAGTATAAAGCATTCTTATGATTACTGTTAATAATGTAGGACTGAAGTTTCCAAACTGACAGTGCTACAAAGAACACATGGTTTGCAAGTCCTTTTCATTTTTAAAAAATTCAGTTCTGCAACCACAGATGAGAATGTGCTTTTATCATCGCTCTTAACTTACCACAGTGCAATTTCCCACTAATGAGTTTGTCTCCCTCCCTTAATCATAAGCTCCTCAGAGAGATCATAAGGGCTGTTTACTTTCTGGGTACAGCCCAGGACTCCGAGTGGCAGTCCACAGACCTCTACTGAGCCAAGTGGTACACTCAGTAGGAAAACCTCCTGGACTGCTCAGGTGAGGTGAGACAAAGGCAAAGCAAATACCACATTCAACTTCTACTAAGTGAAGAGGACAGCAGCCAGGTCCAAGGACTGCAGTGATGATTTGGCCACTGATGCGTCTCCATCCAAAACCATCTCATCTCAGCTGCAGGCTCTGCACTGTTACCATCATCAACATCATCACTAAGGGCTAACATTTACCACACACCACATACCACTTATATGAATGAGCTTTTTTGTCCCCCAGTACTAAAGATTGACACTAGGAGTGCATTACCACTCACCTACATTCCCATTCCTTTTTATTTTTACATATTTTATTTTGAGACAGGGTCTAACTAGATTGTGATGCCAGCACTTGAAACTGCAGTCCTCCTGTCTCATTCTACCTCAACACTGGAATTATAGCCATGTGCCACCAGGCCTACATCATATTAATGTGCTTTATAAGCATCTCTTTCAAATTTCATAGCAGTCCAGTGATGAAATGCTCCTACTCTGCCTATTTCACAAATTCTGAAACTGAAAGTGAGAGTTTAGTAAAATAATAAAACTCATCTATATCGGAGCTGGGATTCAAATCAAAGCCATCTGGCCTGAACACACTGTACTATGCCTTACTCACCTAAAAACATACATTACAAAATCTTGCTTTTACATGTTGGTTAGAAAGTTTCTGACAACAAAATCATCTGATGTAAAGAATTACAATACTTCTAGGATGGATTCAAATCGACCTTGGTAGCATGATCACAAAGAATTGGGATGAACGCAATGAACAGAGCACCTGAGTGTTTTTCATCTTCAAGTACCAATGTAAGCAGCTGAGTTGATCACTGATGTACATCTCTGAGTTTCCAACTCAGAAGAAGACCGCAGACTTTCAGAAAAAGATGAATCCACAGCATTTAATCCCCTCTCGTAAACAAAGACTCTTTTAAGTAGATGCCACTATCAGTATCTCTAAAATCTCTGCTTTTTTTACATAACAACAGCGATGACAATGATGATGATGATGATGATGGTAACTATAGGCTGAGATTCATCACACAGACCTTCCACAATGCTTTCCAATTCTAGAGGGACAAGCAGTTATTTATACTAGGTACCAGGAATGTCTCAAATTTCACTACAAGTCCATATTTCAAAAGAATGCAAAGGAAAATGGAAGAGGTGTAAGGATATGCTATGGAGAGGATATATGGAGCAAAATTACAGAAGAAATTGTGTGGGACCAAGGTGAAGACGTAGCAGTATTTCTGTGTGGCTAAAACACAAGGTTCTGGGAGATGTCTTGTGAGACTTAAGGTTCATTTGGGGCCAATCACAAAAGAGTATACAAAAGTGTTGATCTATAGTTTACTGAGCAGATTATAGCAAACCATCAAAGATTTCAGAGCAGAAGAATAATACAATCACACATAAAAAGTGACAACATTCAGATTCAATTCCATAAAAACAATCATTCATTCATTCAATCCATCACTCATTCAATATTACCAAATGCCTATTTTGTGCTAGGCAGAGGCTTATGTGCTGAGGTTACTTGCACCTACTAGGCATTCAGTAAATATTTTCTGATGGATGAATAACTGAATAAATAGATATATGAATGATGGATGGATAACAGACCTTGGAGAGCAGCCTTAGGTGTGTGAAAATCACTCAGGATTCCATTTCAGAGAGAGTAGACTGAATAATATGATTATTAACTATCCATATATATGATCATTTCTTTGAGGGGAACAAACACTAAACAGATAAAATTTAAATGCATAGTATTTCAGAGATTTGATAAAGAATATTCAAGCAAGAAAAAGTAAATAGAATGTGTCAGAAGTAGGGAAGCTGCAGGTCACACTACAAGGGAGCAGTGGAAGACAGACATGAAGGAGGGTGGGAGGCAAGTAGAGATCTGTGGCAACGGTAATCCAGACCGGGAACACAAGGCAAGGCAGTACTGGGTGCTACTCCCTGCAGCTGTACTCACTGCATTTATGAAAACGCGAAGACGCTAATAGGACTAGATGAGGTGTGGATGCAGGGAAACATGACAAAAATGATGTCTATCTAGAAGGTAGTGTTTGACTATGACCAGGCCTGAAGGCCATCATACTTATTTGGGCTTTTACTGTGAGTGAAACAGGAAGCAGGGTGGTGAGAAACTCAAAGTATAAATAAATTAAAGAGCAAAACAAAAGACAAATAGAAAACAGGAAGAAAAGATTTTCTGCAAATGGCAAGGAAACCAAGAGATAGAGGGAAGGAAAAGGAAAAGAGAAGGGGATGCAACAAAGAACTAAGATGTATTAGGTAACTGTACCAATTCCCCACAATGATGTAGTCACTGTATCCTATAAACATGTACTAATACAAATAAAAATTCAGAAAAAGAAAGGCCACTTTGCTAATCAAAATACTATGTAGAGGGGCAAGGGATGGAAGCAGGGAAGATAATGAGAAAGTTGTTTCCAGGTAAGAGATGTAATAACTTACACTACATACAAGTCAAGGCGGTTTAAACAACTGCATCTCCAAAAAAGGAAGAGGTGATGAGGTTAACCGATGAACTGGACATGAGCATAGCCTAGCCGTGGTCAAAATCCAGACTGACACTGCCATTCCTTGAGATGGGAAATGTATTTCCTGAGAGGAACGGAGGAATAACAGATACAGGCAACATACTCATGTTAAAACTGAGTGCTTCTTATGTGCTACACAGTTGGAATGCACTATCACATATTATCTCAATTAGTCCTTAGGCTGACTACGTATGTACAAGAAATAAAGGTTTAGAAATGTTACGATCTGCCCAAGGTCACACAACTACCAACTGGCAGAAACAGGTACAGCTACCTCTATGTAACACTAAAGTTAAAAATTTTTAATTACTATTGTCTTTTCAAATGTGAAGTATAAAATACGGGATAAAGCTTCGATGGAAAAGAGGTGAGAATGTACTAGGTGATGACTTGTACCTAGTAGGAACTCAATAAATATCTGCTAATAATGAATAAATAGAAGTATGGATGGTGGATATAACAGATCAGCCTTGGGGGAAAGGAAAAACACTGAAGATTCCATTCCAGAGAGCGACGCTGCATAATGAGAAGTTCAAACCTGTACAAGGAGAAATGGCCAAAAACAAAAAATGGATAAATCAGACACACATGCATCTGCCTAGACCAGTCCTGAGATAAGAACAGGTCTTAGTATATTATCTTCCATTATTATATAAGGACAGACATGAAGAGATGTATAGCATCTTACATAATGCAAGCCCTTAATATAGGTTTTTTAAAATGCAAAAAGCTGTAATAACAGAAGTAAAATTGGAACTTTTACTTTTAGTCCAGTACAAAAGACCACACAGCCTTTTAAATAAAAAGCAACCTTTTAACTCAATCAATGAAACCACCATAAGTGGCTCTGCATAGATAGATACCAGCATGGCTCTTGCAGCACCCTGGCTAACTTAAAGGACCACATCCATAAATCACTTCTAGACTTTCTCTTCACACTGTTTCACCTTTGAGTGGTTTGTTCCCTTGTTTTCATCCCGCAGTCCGCCGAACAATCAAAGCAAGTTTTTAAAACAAAACCCAAAAGCAAAATAGGCCTAGAGGTCCCCCGAAGGCCAACTTTCCATTGAAATAGCAAAATACTGATGAACTCTTTCATGTCATAAAACAAATCATCAATATAACCTTTAAAAATGGATAGCTCTCCTTTTCAGAAGCATCTGTTTATGATAATGAACAGACTGCCATGACCAAACTCTAAAGACAAGGCCCCAAGAAATAATATTTAATGAATTAAATATAATTCACGTTTGAGATTTTTTTTAAAATAAGCAAATTAAGTAAGACTGACAAGTATAGGTTTCTAATCACAAGGATCAGATGAAGGGTTGGCAGGGAGGGTCAAATACCTGAGTAAAAATGTCAAAATCCCTAACTGCTTTTAAAATGAGAAAATAAAAGCCAGAAAGTATATCCACAGCGTTAAAAAGTCAGCATTTTACAACAGACATAGACTTTATAGGGTTTCTTCCACTACTATATATATTCTGTAAACTGAGTGAACTTGTTTCTGAGGACAAAACAAAATCCTAAAAGCTTCCTGGAAGTGGTTCTTAGATTTTAGACAATGTACCACTTGTAATTAGGAGGGGAATGCATGCCC